ACGATTCAGCCTCCCGCCGCCGCAGTAGAAACACCGGGGGAAAGCTCCTTTAAATCCGCCCTCACCTCAATCCACCGTGCGGTAGGAGTGGGTCTGTGGTGGGGTAAAGTGTGGGTGTCACCACCTCTTTCGAGACGTCTAAGCGGCGTGGAAGAGTAGGCCAAAATTATCTCAAGCCGAGGCCATTTCGCACAGCAATGACGTGAGCAAGCGATTGCACAGACGGCACGATCACGTGACTATACCAGACAGGCCGGAGTCAAACATGTCTCACTGTCTCACTGGCAACATCTCTTTCTGTCTCACTGGAAACATGTCTCACTGTCTCTCTCTATCACTGTCTCACTGGAAACATGTCTCACTGTCTCACGTCTCACTCTCTCACTGTCTCACTGGAAACATGTCTCACTGGAAAGTGACATTTTCTCCCCAACTGTTTGTATGGCACCAACGCGCTGCCTCCCTCACACCGCCTCTCACACCGCCCCTCACACCGCCTCCTCACACCGCCACTGGCATCGTGCCTCACAGGCAGTCGGCGTGAACTGCTGATGGGTTGGCGTAACTATCGTGAGAAGGGCTGGCTGGCTTCTTCCCACAAGGGCCAGCCTCTGTGTGTGTGAGCCTCGTGCAGCTGCGTGACATTGCATTGTTTTAATCTCTGAGGAGGCAAAGCGATCTGATGAGTAGGTGCATTTCTTCCAACGCGAACGCAAAGGCTTCTTCATCGTCCCGAACTATTTCCTCATCAGAGATTTCACAATCCACGTGCTCCAAGACAAAATGGCTGCGTGGGCGGCAGGGTTGCTGGGGTTGCCACTGATAAATGGATTCGCGGATCAGCGATGAATCTCGCCGCGTGTGGAAAACGTTGCTCTGATCCACAACGTGTCAGATGCAATGCCGCTTGATGAAGGGATTATCACGGACTCCTATCCATGGGAAAATTATATATATAATAACAAGAGGAAAGTCTTGCTGTCCAGCCACAGTAGTACTCCTCTTGTTAGGAGTACTCCTAGTAGTACTAGTATTACTACTAGACTTACTAGTAGTACTACTAGTATTAGTACTAGTCCTACTAGTATTAGTACTACTTGTAAGTAGTAGTACTAATAATAGTAGCAGTAGTAGTGGTAAGTAGTACTCGTAGTACGTAGAACTCCGAATAGTAGTACTAGTAGTACTAGCAGTACTAGTAGTAAGTAGTACGAACAGTAGTACTCCTAGTAGTAGTATTAGTAGTATTAGTAGCATCAGTAAGTAGTACTAGTAGTAGTACTAGCAGTACTAGTAGTAAGTAGTACGAACAGTAGTACTCCTAGTAGTAGTATTAGTAGTAGTATCAGTAAGTAGTACTAGTTAGTACCCCTAGCATCTGCAAACGATTGTTGTTCTCAGCCTAAGTTGATCCGCATGTAGTGTGTTGTACGGAGGCACACACTGAGTTGGAGGCAACACGTCTATGTATGAACTCCCCAACAGGGTAACACACTAACTCGTCCACTGCTTCTACTGCGAGGTCTAGCTGCACGGTTAACTACGTGAGCAGCGGATTAACTACACGAACGGGTCAGTCAGCCTGCGCGTTGCCTGACCCCCGATGCCGAGCCAAGACTGAAGACTCGAAGACGACGAGACGAGACGCAAGGCCCAGGATTGAGTCCACAGGCGAGCCCCGATCGCTGTCAGGGATTCATCTTTAACCCCCCCCCCCCCGAGCGCGGCCCCACTCCGCCCTCGGCCACGCCCCCCTCTCGATCCTGCCAGAAGCTCTCGGCTCCCCGTCACGTGTCCCTCGAGCCCCCTGTGGCCCGCTTGCATGTCAATCTGTGTTCTGGTGGCCCAGAGGACTCCCGACATGCGCCTCCACTCCTACGACGAGTAGCTAGCGCCAAGCGCCATAGTGACATCCATAACGTCACGACGCACGGAAGCTCATTGTCTGCAGGTCTATTCGGTCACTGCATCGCGCGCTTTCGGATGCGCTTCTGCGGCCGTCTGGAACGCTCTTCCTTCCGATATTAGGAAGCCACTGGAGCTATGCACTTTTACATCACCGTCTAGATTGAGAAACTAATTTCCTTGAAACTGTTTTTTGTGTTTAGTTTGTTGTCATACCTCCCCCCCCCCCCCCGCACATCCGATTAGCGCGGTTGGCTACATACGGTGCGAAAGAAGATGATCATACACCCATGCATACATACGTATTACATGCGTGTTTCCGTGGGCAAGAGGCGTTAGCTGGAAGTGATCATGGATGGCAAATCCATCGTGACGTCAGAGGACAAGAGGCACACTCAGAGAGCGGCTGCCGTGAGTGCGAAAGCAACGACAAGGACATCACTTACGGCGTCGTCAATGTCGTCAATGTCGTCACAGTACCAGCGCAAGACCATTTGGATCCATATATCAGTAGAGCACAACAGCGCGCCAAGACGCTGGACGGCACAGGGCGTCAGGCGCAGCGTGGGGTTCCGCAAGCGTCGACGCCTTCATCGAGGGGCTCACAGCTCCGCTGATGCCACCAAGCGCCGCCCCCTGCACTTGAGTTGCCCCCCGTCCTGCGGCAATGCGCCGAGCTCGCCGTGCGAGGGTCTCCACGCGAACAGCGCAAGCAGATTCTCACCTGTCGCCAACCTTAGGGGACATCCACTGAGCACGTGCGCATGGAGGGGGGGGGGGGGGGGTGAACCCTAATGCGTACGCGTGCGTATGGGGGGGTCTACTCACAATGTGCGCTTAGGGAAGGGGGGGGGGTGAAGCCTCGATAATAATTTGTCTACATTGGCCTTCAAATGAGTTAGATAGTCCGGCGGCGGACTATCTGTTTGCTTAAACACGTTCATATTATTCATCCTTGATCGTTTCTGTGTGGATTAAATATCGGCCGTTCTATAGGATTCGGGGGGAGGGGTGCGTCAGGCGTACGCTGGTGGTGGGGGGGGGTAAAAAGTCCGCGTGCGTACAGGGAGGGGGGGGAGGGGTCAAGTTTTGACAGATTTTTGCGTACCTACTCAATGGATGGCTCCTAAACGGAATGTGAATCGGCAGCACAAACAGTTTTGGGTGGCGGCTCTTCACGCGTGTTTCTTTTCATCGCACGACCTTTGCGGGAACGGGATGTGCTGGCGGTCCGGGAATGGTCACTTTGCATTCCGGGATCAGCAGCTCGGCTCAGATCCCCGTTACGGCGTTGCAGGAGGCACGAGGCCGCTGTGGGTGCGGGGCTCTCCGCGTTCAGCCCACACCTCCCCGTCCACTCCACCACCTCCCACGACGGGCATCCTTTCAGACAACGCTGCACGAGTTTGGGCAGAGGGTGCCAAGGATAGGCGAGGGAGGGCTCCCTCTCCACCCTCTCTCACTACTCAATTACCTCCACTCTCTCACCACTCAAACACACCACCCACCCTCTCGTACTCCCTCTCACCACCCGCTCTGCCACTCGCTCCACTCACTCACGCGCCCACAAAATCTCTCACTCTCTCGACTCACCACTCACGCACACCGTCTCACCACTCACCCTCTCGTACTCCCTCTCACCACCCGCTCTGCCACTCTCTCCAATCACTCACGCGCCCACAATTCTCTCACTCTCTCCTCTCACCACTCACGCGCCCTCACCACTCATTCGTGCTCGCTGAACACTCGCCCTCCCCACTAATGCACTCCTCACCACTCACACTCACCTTTCCCTACTCGCTCGCGGCCTCTCCCCGTACAATTGCCGCTACTTTAACTGACCTCTCACCAGGAAACACGACAGCTGCTATGGACATGAGCGCGTTCCTTCCATTACCATCACCGTTATCATCACCATCATCGTCTTTCGATTTAAAGCTTTCGTGACTGCAAGGATTCATCTTCTTTGGTTCTTTCGGTAAAGTCACGTAGAATGAGAATAAAAGAATAAATTGAAACGTCGTGAGAATATTGTTGTGTTATTTTATTTTATCAATTCATTATTTTATTCTCATTCTACGTGACTTTACCGAAAGAACCAAAGAAGATCATCGTCTTTATCCACTAATCCGTGGGAAATTGCGGACAATAGGATGAATGGAATGGCTGTCGGAAACCACGTGTGCGTGACCTCTCTTAAACGGGAAAACAAAACCGGATGATCGGGTCACTTTGACGCCAACAGCGTACACTTCTACGTGATCCCTAACCAACGTCTGCACCAATCGGCAGAACCGATCCGCGGATGGTGCTATGGTTTTTTGCCGATCGATTCGGGGCCTCGGACAATAAATAAGCCTCATGATGAATATATTGATTTGAAGCTGTCGTGACTGCAGGAATCCGTACTCTTTGGTTCTTTCGGTAAAGTCGCCACGTAGGTATAAATAAAATAAAATCAATCACGACGTTTCGAACGCAACACAAGCGCCCGTTTTCAGGTGAAAATCGCGACAGCTGGGATGACTGCTGCGGGCAGCACATCTGGTCCCTTTCACGAACAGAGATTCCAGTTATTAGTGCGCGTTCTAAAAATAAGGTTTACAGAGTTGTGTTTACTCGACAGCGGTGCGTGTTACTTTGTCTAGAGCTATACAAATGTAAGGCAATAAATAAAATAGCCTCTGTTCATGCTTACTCATTAAATCTTATGTTTGGCAAAAAAGAAAATACAGAACTATGTACATGCCATCGCATTGTATTGGCTACAGCGTTGAAATACCTGTGTGTATACCAGTATGCCAACGTCTTTAATGGTGCTGCTGGTTGCTGGCCGCTTGACGTTGTGGGCCCTGTTGCCTTGAGCAGCATTATGACTGCACCATGAACCCGCTGACAGAGAGTGCCATCTTGCCAGCACAGCATTCACGAACAGAGATTCCAGTTATTAGTGCGCGTTCTAAAAACCCCACAATGCCCTCCACCACCACACGCACCGCCGCTGCCGTAGGAATGCGTTTTTTGACCAGCAAGATCCGCGCTGGCTCCTGGAATATCTCCCTTCTCACATTGGCCAACTTGGCAGACCACGGACACCCAGAGAGTGTCAGCGCTGCAGCTTAGCCGTGCGAGGGCAGTGTCGTTTGATATCGGTGAATCAATGGGCAGTGAGTTCCCGGGGCAACAGCTCGCACCCACCACACATACACACTCACGCACCACGTGCCACATCGCCTATAAATAAGAAACCCATACATGTTGAAATGACGGTAAACACTAGCCCAATATAAATAAGGCGCTGGGAATGCCTCATTAGCGCTCTGTGAGCTGTAAGGGCTTGAGCGGGACCGCGGTGCGTTGCCAAATCGTACTACAGCAGCAGACAGCAGGCGCTGCCATCATACAGGTACATCTGGGGCATTGCACTGTGGACACACGCTCATCGTGTTGCCTACAAGGCTGATTGTATTTGTTTTGTTTGTGTGTTAATTAAGCGCGTGCGTGAGACTCTATTGTTCAAGTGTTACCTAGCAATATTGACAATGCAGGTGATGATGATGTGTGTGTGTGTGCTGAGCGTGGTCCAGGCCGTTTGAGAAGGTAAGGGTGACACAAATATAAAGTGTCACTCACAGAGATGTGCTTCTGATGGTTTTAATCAATCTTCGTGAATTTTTGGTTTTTAAATATTCTCACGTGAAACAAAAAAAATATTCAGCCCCTCGGGAGACGTGTGATGGTTTAAAATCGCAGCCTCCGCGTTCGTGTTAGAACGCAAGACGCGGCTTGAGACGCGGCAATTCAGGAAGCCCCTTGCCGCATACCAGGCAGCTTACAGGGCTTGCGTGCCACGATACATTCTCCGACGCTGCATCTCACTGGCAATCGAAATTTCATTTCTTTCGAACCGCTTTTTTTGTGTGTCGACTGTGACGACCGAACGATTTTATTTAAAATTTTGATTTAAAGCTTTCGTGAATGCAGGGATTCATATTCTTGGTTCTTTCGGTAAAGTCACGTAGAAGAATATGATTTTATTTTACGTTACCAGGTAAGGCCCCCCCCTCCCCCCAGTACGTAGCCAAGCACAGAGAAGCCGGATGACTGTGGCGCGCGCACGCACACACACACACACGCACACACATGCACGCACACACACACATGCACGCACACACACACATGCACGCACACACACATGCACGCACACACACACACATGCACGCACACACACACATGCACGCACACACACATGCACGCACACACACACATGCACGCACACACACACATGCACGCACACACACACATGCACGCACACACGCACACACACACATGTGCGTGTGTGCGTGCATGTGCGTGTGTGCGTGCATGTGGTTAGCGCCCCGCTGCGTTACGAACCTGGTGACCCCAGTTCGATTCCCGTTCACGGTCAAAACCGGTGACGATTATCTGAACCGGTCCAGGGCCTCTCCTAGGTCGACTCAGCCTCAAATGAGTACCCGGTGCGATGTGTAAACAGTGCCACTAGGGAGACAAAGGCGGCCGGGCGTGGTGTTGGCCACCCACCCCCTCGTGTGCCGTGCCGGCCTTTATAGGTGCTCGCTAACAGCACTTGCCCCTACATTTTGTTAAGGCTACACGGGGGATCTTTGTCTTTGGTGTAAGTGCAATGAGTGAATGCTGTACATTTGATGATGCATTTTAATGCCAAATTGAAGCCAGGGGTTGTTGTTCCTTGATTCCGTGCTTTGGAGCAGATAACGGGATGGATGTGCTGCCCACACTCCTCTTGCCGCTGCTTTTGGCCACACTAATAGGATCCATCAATTTGCTGAATCAATCTCCTTATCCGTTTCAGTGGGGATAATACTGCATCCAGTCAGAATTGACGCGCAGATAATACAAGATCATGCAAATCGAGCAAGGGTTGCAGATGTTGTAATATGAATCGTGCGTAACAGAGCTGTGGGTAAGAGGCGTTCCAGAGTTTCATATTATAAAAATAAGTTTTGCTGGCTGGAGGCCATGCGCCGTCCAGCGCGCACAGGGGAGGGGGCGGGCGGTGTGAGGTGGGGGGGCACAGAGGAGAAGTGAGTGGGGGTGGGGGGGGGGGTGCGTGGGGGGCTGTGGGGAGGAGTGTGGTGGGGGGGAGCGGTAGCGTGGCTGTCAGAGCGCCGCGCTACGGACCCGGCGACCCCAGTTCGATTCCCGCTCATGGCCAACACCAGTGATGACTATCTGAATCGGTCCTGGGTCTCCCCTCGGTCGACTCATCCTCAAATCAATACACGGTGCGGTGTGTAGTAAACATCGCCACTGGGGAGACAAAGGCGGCCGGGCGTGGTGCGGGCGACCCACCCCCTCGTGTGCCGTGCCGGCCTTCATAGGTGCTCGCTAACAGCACTTGCCCCAACAGTCGATTAAGGCTATACGGGGGATCTTTGTCTTTGTGGGTCACGCGCCACGAAATTGGGGCGTCGAGGGATGGGGACGCTGGGCTGGGCTCGCTGGGCGGACGGCCGGACCGGTGACCTCCGAAGGACGTGGCAGCTGTGAGCGCCGAGCTAAATAACCATCTCGATCTCTCCCAGGTGAATGTGCGTTCAAGCGGAGACTATGGGTTCGGGCCGGTTCAGTGTTAACGGCGAAGGTGTGCGGACCTGCAATTGCTCACTGAGGCCATTGCTGGCAGAAGCACCTCCACCAGAGTGAGCTCGAGAGCGCTCCTCTGCGCAGGACCCCATCTGCTCTTGCACGCCGACCAGATGCGTGGCGAGATGTGGAAGTAACCCACATTTTAGCCCACCACACGAAAACTTCCGATCGGCTGTGGGTCGAACAAAGGCGGAGGGGATTTAAGAAAGCTGCCCCATTGTTTCAACTGCCGGGCGATTGACCTGTGGATTGCAAGTCCAGGGTGCGGACTATTTTACACCAATGTTACAGCATCGCTGATTGAATTAAAAGTACCTTATAGCACTGTTCAGCAAAGGGTTAGCTAAATGCACGGCTGCATGGACATCACGCGCACCATCAAAGACAATTAGAATATCGCCAGGGGCCACTTTTAAGCACGTTATTGTTCCATGAAACTAAAGTCGTCCTCTTTGCGAGCGTGTGAATCGCTCTGGAAAAAATCCAATCCCTGCGGCAATGGAATCTCCAGCTTGGCAAGGCAGACACACATTGCTGCCTCCGTCGTAAAGGAAAATGCAACCGGAAAGCAATCGGGTGGTGCTATTTCATTTCTAACACAATACCAAACAGTTGGACCCTACTCTGGAAATAGGACTCGCATGCCCCACATGGATGGTTTAATTTAGCAGTAAATATTTGCTTGACCCAAGCCCTATAGAGCAGCATAGCATTTGGTGAGAGCAATGAAATCGGAGACCTCTGTCCACCGTCCCCCTGTATGTACAGTGAGGGAAAAAAGTATTTGATCCCCTGCTGATTTTGTACGTTTGCCCACTGACAAAGAAATGATCAGTCTATAATGTTAATGGTAGGTTTATTTGAACAGTGAGAGACAGAATAACAACAAAAAATACGGAAAAACACATGTCAAAAATGTAAAAAGTTGATTGGCATTTTAATGAGGGAAATAAGTATTTGACCCCTTTGCAAAACATGACTTAGTACTTGGTGCAAAACCCTTGTTGCCAATCACAGGGGTCAGACGTTTCATGTAGTTGGCCACCAGGTTTGCACACATCTCAGGAGGGATTTTGTCCCACTCCTCTTTGCAGATCTTCTCCAAGTCATTAAGGTTTCGAGGCTGAAGTTTGGCAACTCGAACCTTCAGCTCCCTCCACAGATTTTCTATGGGATTAAGGTCTGGAGACTGACTAGGCCACTCCAGAACCTTAATGTGCTTCTTCTTGAGCCACTCCTTTGTTACCTTGGCCGTGTGTTTTGAGTCATTGTCATGCTGGAATACCCATCCACGACCCATTTTCAATGCCCTGGCTGAGGGAAGGAGGTTCTCACCCAAGATTTGACGGTACATGGCCCCGTCCATCGTCCCTTTGATGCGGAGAAGTTGTGATGTCCCCTTAGCAGAAAAACACCCCCAAAGCATAATGTTTCCACCTCCATGTTTGACGGTGGAGATGGTGTTCTTGGGGTCATAGGCAGCATTCCTCCTCCTCCAAACACGGCGAGTTGAGTTGATGCCAAAGAGCTCCATTTTGGTCTCATCTGACCACAACACTTTCACTCAATTGTCCTCTGAATCATTCAGATGTTCATTGGCAAACTTCAGACGGGCATGTATATGTGCTTTCTTGAGCAGGGGGACCTTGCGGGCGCTGCAGGATTTCAGTCCTTCACGGCGTAGTGTGTTACCAATTGTTTTCTTGGTGACTATGGTCCCAGCTGCCTTGAGATCATTGACAAGATCCTCCCGTGTAGTTCTGGGCTGATGCCTCACCGTTCTCATGATCATTGCAACTCCACGAGGTGAGATCTTGCATGGAGCCCCCGGCCGAGGGAGATTGATAGTTATTTTGTGTTTCTTCCACCACACCATGACAACACACCATGACAACACACCATGACAACACACCATGACAACACACCATGACAGCACACCATGACAACACACCATGACTCACCATGACAACACACCATGACAACACACCATGACAACACACCATGACAGCACACCATGACAACACACCATGACAACACACCATGACAGCACACCATGACAACACACCATGACAACACACCATGACAACACACCATGACAACACACCATGACAACACACCATGACGACACACCATGACAACACACCATGACGACACACTATGACTCACTATGACAACACACCATGACTCACTATGACGACACACCATGACTCACTATGACGACACACCATGACTCACTATGATGACACACCATGACAACACACCATGACTCACTATGACACACCATGACTCTAAGCCACCTGAAATCACGGGAAAACTTCCTCGCCGCAAACGGAACCGCTTTAGTAAGTCACCGACGTCCAAACGACCACAAATGTGTCGAACACCGCTCGGCAAACTAGACACCGACATCAAGATGCTCATCACCGAACGCCGCCCCGCTAGCACGGATACCCTTTGATTGGTGACGTGGCCCACGCACGTGACCTCCCAGTGACCTCCGGAAATCGATTGAAAGACACAAATGAGAAAGGTTAGATCGCGTAAGTATAAATGTGTCGATAAACCCGCCAACAGCAGGTTTGTCACGTAACCAGAACATGCCGATTCGTTACTAGTACATCACACCGGTGTGTTGGAGAGAAAATCTACAACATTTACAATCTGGGTACGACGTTTCGCCAGTAATTACAACGAGCTTCATCAGCCAGATTTCCAAATCCACAATATTTACAATCTGAGTACTTACTGGCGAAACGTGGTATTCAGATTGTAAATGTTGTGGATTTGCTCTCCAACACACCGGTGTGCTGTACTAGTGTAGTGGCATAAAATGAGTCACTGGAGAGCGGAGCGCTGGGGACTGGCAGAACGGGATTATGGGGAGCAGCCCGCTGTAACCAGTGGGACACGTGGCCGAGGCCTGGAGCCTTCTGGGGGATCAAGAAGGGTGCGTGGCCGAGGGCGGAGCCTGGCCACGCCAGGGTCTTCGCCTCTTCGAGCTGTGGGTCTGGCAGCATGTTGGCTGTCCGGGCCCGATGTGTAGTTATCCCCTATGGCTGTGAAGGCCGGAATAAACGAGAGAAGGTGCCTCCTACTAGTGTCGCTGAATTAGTACACTGCACTAGTATAGAATTGGCATGTTCTGTTTACGTGACAAACCTTACTAATTGGCTGGGTCGAGTGGTAGCAGGGTTTCACGACATTAATATTTACGCGATCTAACCCAAAAAAAACCGATATTATGGATGATATTGATCGCGAAGGCCTACGTGTTACACTCAAATTAGAAAGATTTAACTTCTACTCATGCATGTTTTTTTCTCGCCCCCACAGCCCCTTGTCAGTCTACTGAGGGCGGAAGGCCTGGCCACACCGTGTCGGCTGTGGGAGTCGATTGTCCAAATGTCCCCACGCGTTGGTGAATTGGCTGGGTGGGACCGGTTTAGAAATCACTCGCTCTGGTCATCCTCGCAGCAGCAGCAGCAACGCCTTTTGGGCTCACCATCCATCACCGCATCGCGCGCTTTCAGATGCGCTTTTGCGGCCGTCTGAAACGCTCTTCCTTCCGATATTATAGAAAGCCACTGGAGCTATGCAGTTTTAAATTTGCATTGAAAATTAATTTCTTTCGAACTGCTTTTTGTGTTTAGTTTGTTGTCTTTCCCCCGCACCTCCGATTAGTACGATTAGCTACGTACGGTGCGAACGAAGTTCAACAACATGCCCCGAGTGTTCTCTGTGGCTAGGAATCGAACTCGGGTCGCCTGGTTCACATCGCTGGGCGCTAACCACTGCGCCACCCATCCACCCCTTTATTAATACGAAGGGTAAAGGTGCAGCCCTGCAACGACGTTGCTCATGTCACTGCAAGCAGAGAAGCCTCCACTATGGGGAGCTATAGAGAGCCGCTTAGAGGGTGTCCGGCCGACTCGTCCACGCTGTCCAGACTTCTCGTGCCACGTAGGAGTACCCAGACCACACCGCACCACACCACATCGCACCACACCGCGCCGCACCGCACCACACCGGACCACACCGCACCACACCGCACCACACCGCATCACACCGCACCACACCACACCGCACCCCACCACACCACACCGCACCCCACCACACCACACCGCACCACACCGCACCACACCACACCGCACCCCACCACACCACACCGCACCACACCGCACCATACCACACCGGACCACACCACACCGGACCACACCGGACCACACCCCACCACACCGCACCACACCACACCACACCGGACCTGCTGACAAGTCAAACTGGCTCACTCGTAGATGCACTGCTGCGTGGACAGAGGGCCTCGATTTAAGAAACCCGCCTTTTGTGCCCAGTGCCGCACCTGGAGGTCTAATCAAACCGGCGACCTCTATATGCTAACCATTACACAATAGCAGGGTGCTTTATTAATGTACCACCCTTAAAAAGAAACCTCTCCAACGAACATGATCACTCTCAACCCTGGCACTCCTTGGCAGTGACCACAGCACCTAGACGACGCGTCCTGACGAACTCTCCGCACTGCGTGTGGCATGGAACTCGATTCGAAGCTTTCGTGACTGCAGGAATTACTCCTTGGTTCTTTCGGTAAAGTCACGTAGAAAATAAAATAAGAATAGAATACGACGTTTCGGTTGCAACAAGCAACCATTATCGGGTAAGAATGAATGATAAAACACAGACACGGGAACAGCATAGGCAGACACACATGCAGAGAGAGGCACACACAAAGACACACCGAGCGAGACACACACCAATACAAACAGCGTATGGCATGGTGATGAACGTCAGGAACCTGTTATTGCATAACTCTGCGCGAGTGAAGACCAATAACAGCATCCTGGACACTTTCGTCTCTGCTCAAGGAACATGCAGAGCTTGCATCTTTCTCGAGAGTGTGGAGCACAGGTCAGGGTATTCTGATCCCGCCACGCTCTCCAGCACGTGTCCACGTCTCACTAAAAATAATCTGCTTCACCCCTACACCTGCACCAGATTGTGGTGACTGTCAGACACCCTGGCAACAGATTTGTTCCAAATGTCTAAGTCAGCTGGTATTCCGGGACATGCAAAGCTAGCAGGTCATTACTTCTGCAGTCGGTGATGGCTGTAAGCTCCATGTTGTCTGGTGGGAATGATGCCAAAAAGAGATTCAATTTGCATCTAGATTTCAAACAGGGCACTACAGTACTTCGCCCGGTGCTTGTGAGCCGAGTGCCTTCTATTTAAAAAATAAACTTCTACATCTACTACGCAAGTAATCCGAGAGGCAATCATGGTGTGAGTTGTGATTATGGGGGCTCGTGTCAGCAGGGTTTATTGTGTTCTAAGACAAAAGTGTGGGTGGTGGAGGAGCAGTGATCGTACTGCAACTACGAAGCCAGCCCACCCCAGTTCGATCTCGGCCACGGTTAACATCAAAAGTGGCGAGTGGTATCTGGACCCGCTCTGGTGCCCCGATTCACCAAGCCACACTGACCGGCTGGGTGAAGTATGGCCACACAACCCTCACGGCCGGCATTCCATGGGGAGGCCTATTTCCGGTCGTGGATTCCTTTGGGCAAACGATTTAATTATTATTTTCGTAATGTTATTATGAAATATATTAATATGTACGTGACATGGGGTATCAGCAGGATGATGATGATGAACAAACGTAATGAAACAAAAACTGCAACAAAAAATGACATAATTCAAACTGTCAACAAAAGTGGGTTTCGCATGGGATTCCGTCGTCGCGAGAATCCCGTTCAAGGTTCCGCCTCGAACTCAAACAAAAGCGACGCTCCGTGGCTTAGCGTCGACATTCCGTGCCCCCCCCCCGCCCCGGCGACAGGAACACCCCGAGCGGGAGCACCATGGCGGGCACGCGCTCCGAGGGCCGCCGGCGGCGCGCTGCCGACCCCGCGAGCTCCTCCGCCTCCTGCGGGCTCAGCGCGGACCCCGCCCTGCGCAACGCCAACCGCGCGACCCGTGGCCCCTTCGTGTGGCAGAGGGCGCGCGACCCCGCCCCGCGCGACCCCGCCCCGCGCGCGCCCTCCTCGCGCGCGCACAGAGACGCGACGGAGGCACCGACGCCTCCGCGGGGCAGGTGGGGATCCTGTCGCGACCGGCTGTTCCTGTCGCGACCGGCTGTTCCTGTCGCGACCGGCTGTTCCTGTCGCGACCGGCTGTTCCTGTCGCGACCGGCTGTTCCTGTCGCGACCGGCTGTTCCTGTCGCGACCGGCTGTTCCTGTCGCGACCGGCTGTTCCTGTCGCGACCGGCTGTTCCTGTCGCGACCGGCTGTTCCTGTCGCGACCGGCTGTTCCTGTCGCGACCGGCTGTTCCTGTCGCGACCGGCTGTTCCTGTCGCGACCGGCTGTTCCTGTCGCGACCGGCTGTTCCTGTCGCGACCGGCTGTTCCTGTCGCGACCGGCTGTTCCTGTCGCGACCGGCTGTTCCTGTCGCGACCGGCTGTTCCTGTCGCGACCGGCTGTTCCTGTCGCGACCGGCTGTTCCTGTCGCGACCGGCTGTTCCTGTCGCGACCGGCTGTTCCTGTCGCGACCGGCTGTTCCTGTCGCGACCGGCTGTTCCTGTCGCGACCGGCTGTTCCTGTCGCGACCGGCTGTTCCTGTCGCGACCGGCTGTTCCTGTCGCGACCGGCTGTTCCTGTCGCGACCGGCGGTATTTTTGTTCTTCGCGCAGCCTGCGTCGTCGTTCAGATGCCGGCGGTGCATTTACAGACACCCGACTCAACAAACAAAAAAGAGAACGGATGAATGGGAGAGGTAACGACTTAGCCTGCCATGGTGGCACGGAGGGCAATGTGGTACGAGGAGGTGGTTGTAACACTCGGGCAGCGGTGACTCCAGTCGCATGCCAACATTTACAATTGTAAACGTTGTGGCTTGGCTCTCCAACACACCGGTTAGTGCTGTACTAGTGACGAATTGGCCACGTTCTGTTTACGTGACAACCCTTACTAGTTGGCTGTGTCTGGTGGTGGCGGGCTTTAACGACACATTTATATTTACGCGATCTAACCCAAATAAACTCTATTATGGATGATATTGGTCGCGAAAGCCTCCTACCACGTGTCAAACTGAGAGGCGTTCAGCTGAAACCGGGGGTGGGCAAACCAAAAGAACAAGATGAGCCACTCTTATTTTCAAATTCTGAACAAACAACTCAAGATTTCGGGAACCACAAAAGCACCGTGAATAATGTCACGAAGCAGCGCTGAAAGAGCCGCAGGTTGCCGACCCCCTGCCTTGAACGTGGAGCGTCTCGAGATCGTGTTTGCATGTCTGTCGCGCGCGCACAACCATTGCAAAGTTGTACGGGAAATGAATCGTTACTCTCAGCTTCGATCAAAAGGTCGTCGGTTCTCCGTGAACTTCCGACTTGTGCTCCACAGCGCCGCGGTGGAGAGAACTGTGAGCAGGCGTCCGGAGGCGCTGCTGCTCCGCAATGACGAGAACAGAAGCCACCGCGCCATCCCGCGAGAGGTCGCGACCCCACGCCAAACGAACCACGCGTGCGTGCCAACAAACCACGCGTGCGTGCCACACGGAGTTCTACCGCCCCCTGGTGGCCACGGCGAAGCAGTGCAGGCAGCCGCGCCTCCTCGGACGAGGTATTTGGCTCTATCACTCGTATTGTATTGTTATTCATCACGCGCGTGCTTTCTTTAATCGAATGTTTCGTCAAAGCGCTTTCTGTGGCCATGAAGCCAAGGCCGAGTGGTAAACTTGACGCAGGCAGGATTAGTTGTGGGTAACGTTACACATTTCTGGGAGGCTCAACTGGGACACTTGCTGAGTCGGCCTCTTGTGAAGTTTTAATGGTGCCCAGGAATCTGCGTTCTCAAATCTAACCATGCATCGCTCCACGCCCATCTGTGCACTATTCCGTTTCAGTTTATTTGTTTTTTTTTTGCGTCTCCGTCACAATGTGGTTTGCTGTTCTCTGCTGCGGTGGGGGGGGGGGGGGGTCTCTTTGTCCCGAACGTGGTTTCAGTTCCAAGGCGATTCAAGGATGCTCGCACAAGCCTCCCCCAGAAGACTCCCGCGAAGACGCCTCACTCGGCTTCTCCCTGCACAAGCAAGTGAAGCTTCAGCAGGAGTGAGTTGTATAGCTCGCCGTGGGACTCCGTTTGGACAACTTATGCGTCTACGACGGAGATACATTTTTGAATGTCATATTCTCAGAGATCGGAGATTTTTTGGCCCAAATGGGATTGTATTTCTAAGCTCCATATTTTTGGATTTTAACGTATTGAATGTTCGTAACATTCATTGTTTATGCACCACATTTAATGCGTTGTCATATTAATAATGTAATTGCACATTTTTACGAAATGTTCCATCGGTAATTTGTTTGATCGTAAACGGTTTCTAATGTTCACGTCGCTCAAAGTGGCGGCCAAGCACGGCCAGAACTGCGTCACGCGACGGAAATTTTTTGGCCAGAAATGCACGGCAGTGATGTGACGTCACGTGCAATGGTCACGTCCTGTGATGTCACATTTCGGATGAATCCGATTTCCCAAAATGACATCCAAAAATGTCATATCGAGGTCCGAATCTTGGATTTTTTTTGTTCAGATTAATCCGAAAATGTGGAACACGTGGCCTCGTTTTATTCACCCCTCCTCGCGACGCGCGTTAAATCAACGTAGCCATCGCCGTGTCCTGGATTTCCCTCGCTAGCTACACATTCGAACTCGCTACACATTCGAGCTCAAGCACCAGAGGCAACTTACATTCGTAGCTCGCCACGGAACAGTGCGTGGAGAACAACGCAACGCATCGCAGAGCTGGGAACGGCAAAATAACTGTCTGGACCAGGCATCAGCAGCCTGCAGCTCAGGAGTGGCGCGCGGCTCTGCAAGGAGCTGCTCCGTGGCGTTGTCCGTTCGGGGCCGCCACCGTTTCGTGTTCACCGCCACAGTGCATTGTGGGCTCTTGAAATGTTGAGTCTCTTGTTATTTTCGTTGCCGCTCCCCGCTGGTCTGGGACTCTGTGCGAGGCATCACCTCCTGCGCTGCGTGTGCCATGTGACCACCAGGTGGAGCCCCGTGTCCATGGCCATCAAGGATGACAATGCCCTCGAGCTGACGCTCTTGAGGGAGGCTGGGGTGAACCTGCTTCGCGTTCCCGGACAGACTCTGCCGCCCATTCACGAGGCAGCTATGCTGGGCAAGACTCGCTGCCTGCGAATGCTTACTCAAGGTCCGCACAGGGCACACGCAAAAAATGCCCAATTACGCTCTTTCGTCTTTCCCCAATTTGACATTTCTGTTTTGGTTAACGACACTTCGACTCGTTAATGATCGCATTAGATGTTTGCGCCATTCTCACAGCAACGGGGGCCGTCATGAACGAAAGTGTTGTGTTTCACACACGAGCGCCGTCTGGCAGCTTGGGGGTAATGTCGCAATTCATGACCAATCCGTGACCCGCGGGACGAACCAGCACGGGCGCTCGACTCGAACCACGAACGTCTCTCTGCAGCAGCAGCAGCAGCAGGCGGCACACATGCTGCCAACGAGTGCCCCGATGGTGGGGAGTTGCTGACTCAAAATTAAAAGAATGGTTTTCTCTGTGACCTAAATGAGGGTGGTTCAGTGGGTAAAGAGACTTCGTAATAATTTTGTGATCAATGTTAAAAATGTAATCGTGAAAGACAAGTAGCCCTGGTACTCGCATGCATGTTTTTTTCTTCCAGATCGTGGACTAGATTGCAAACATAGTGCGCTCTGTCAGATATGGCAGTGCCCTGGCACAACTGCACATTACAAGTGCAGCGAGCTGTTATGAATATTTGTGCAGCAGTATCGCATTATAGCATGGTCATCATCAAAAGCAGAATCACAATAATAATCATAACAGCAGCAAAATGTCATTTAGGCTACCCATTATGCCACATCACACATTGCGTGCCAATGAGAAGGGTGCGTATTGAATTGACGTGAAACGACGTGGCATGTCCGCCAACACTTGTGCGTGTTGACATTTAAACTGGAAGAGAAAATATCTCTACAATGGGACAACCAGCAAGTGGGGCAAGAAAACTTACACCGCATGCTGTTAAGTCTTTCGGCTGAAAGCTTTAAATCGGAAGTTAGCAATAGCTGGCGGATGAAACTGTGCTTACACGTCCGTTCGATCTGCTCGCGATTTCCATTGTCGCCGCTCGCTCAGCTTTCCCAAAGGCCCTCGATGAGAGAACGAAGACCAACGACACCCCCCTGCACCTGGCCACCTGCCAGGGCAAGACGGAGTGCGTGGACATCCTGCTGCAGGCCGGAGCCAACCCCAATGTCCACAAGACCTGGATGGAAACGCCTCTCTACAAGGGTGAGGCCTGTGTTCCCGCGTGCCTTCATGCGACCTCACTCAGGAGACTGTAATCACGCAAAGGGAAGAAGCAGCATCAGATCGAATGAGGAGAAGTGTCGTTGAGTATGAGGGACCAAGGAGTGGGGCGCCACAGTGGCTATGAGATGTTGTCATCATAATCATTGTCATCATCATCATCATTGTCATCATCATCATCATTGTCATCATCATCATTGTCATCATCATCATTGTCGTCGTCATCGTCGTCGTCGTCATCATCGTCGTCATCATCATTGTCATCATCATCATTGTCGATTTAAAGCTTTCGTGACGGCAATGATTCATCTTCTTTGGTTCTTTCGGTAAAGTCACGTAGAATGAGAATAAAATAATAAATTGATAAAATAAAATAACACAATAATATTCTCACGACGTTTCGGCCACAACACAAGCGGCCTTCATCAGGTGAAGGGACGAGACTGTCTGGTAGGACAGCGCTGTCCTCCAGACAGTCTCGTCCCTTCACCTGATGAAGGCCGCTTGTGTTGTGGCCGAAACGTCGTGAGAATATTATTGTGTTATTTTATTTTATCAATGTATTATTTTATTCTCATTCTACGTGACTTTACCGAAAGAACCAAAGAAGATCATCATTGTCGTCATCATCATCGTCGTCATCATCGTCGTCATCATCATCATCATCATCGTCGTCATCATCATCATCGTCGTCGTCATCATCATCATCGTTGCCATCATCATCATCGTTGTCATCATCGTTGCCATCATCAGCGTTGTCATCATCATCATCGTTGCTATCATCATCATCATCGTTGTCATCATCATCATCATCGTTGTCATCATCATCATTGTCATCATCATCATCGTTGTCATCATCATCATCATCGTTGTCATCATCATCATCATCGTTGCTATCATCATCTTCATCGTCGTCGTCGTCATCATCATCATCGTCGTCACCCCCACTGCTGTCGCTGCTGCTGCATATTCACAGCAGCAGCAGCGTTCACTTTGCACCTAAACTCAAAGGCACTTTAAAGGCCCCACCTCGTTCGCCGCCCTTTCGAGTGACGCTGAGTTTGGTTCCACACCTCAGAGTCACGGCCGTTTATGCCCCTGAAATATTGCATGCGTTCTACATCGCATTGCGATTGTTACTGTTAAACATGATAATGTTGGCACTGAAAAGAGGCCTTGGGAGCTGCGTACTTGAATCCACACTGACCTACAGAAAGAGGAACGCACGGATGGGAGAACGCACGCAGGTTAGGGACATCATTCCGACTGCGATTGAGCGGAAGGTTGCTGAGGTAGGACACGTCGCTGGATAGGGGTGATGGCGGTGGACAAGGCTCATAACGGAGTGGTGGCCCAAGGAGCGAACACGCCCCAGAGGATATTTAATGTGGGGACCCCGCACCTCCGATGAGCGCGGTTGGCTACGTACGGTGCAAAAGAAGTTCAACATACATGCATACACCGCAGCTATCGTGTGTGGAAGAACGGTTTCTCTACCCCCCCCCCCTGTCGCTGGCGGGCAGCGTGCGAGTACAAGCTGCTGGAGGTGGCCGAGCTGCTGGTGCGACACGGCGCCAACGTGAACACGCGCGACCTGCACAGCCACACGCCCATCTACGAGGCCATCACCCGCCACAGCCTGCCCATCGTGCAGCTGCTGGTGACGGCGGGCGCCCGCGTGGACGTCCGCGACAAGTACGGCGCCACGCCGCTCTTCGTGGCCGCCCAGTGCGGCGTGCTGAGCGTCGTCGTCTACCTCGTCAGGATGGGTCAGTGCTCTTCCGAGCGGCTCGGCGCGGCCTTCGCCTTATCCGCACGTGCACGTTACTGCCGCACGTCCGTGAAGAAAAGAGCGCCGCAGCTCGTCGGATTCCTCCAGCGGTCTGAATAAGCATCGCGACTTGCGATTCGCAGGCGCCGACGTGGAGACGGCCACGCAGGACGGGAGCACCCCGCTCTTCGAGGCGTGCAGGAACGGCCACGAGGAGGTGGCCGCCTTCCTCGTGGCGGCCGGGGCCGACGTGAACCGGCCCAACGACGGCGAACTGCTGCCCCTGCACGCGGCCGCCCAGCAGGGCAGCCTGCGGTGAGCGCCGCCCTCCGCGTTGGCACCGCTGCTGCTGCTGCTGCTCCTGTTGCTGCTGCTGCTGCTCCTGTTACTGCTGCTCCTGTTGCTGCTACTGCTCCTGCTGCTGCTGCTGCTCCTGTTGCTGCTACTGCTGCTCCTGTTGCTGCTACTGCTGCTCCTGTTGCTGCTGCTGCTCCTGTTGCTGCTGCTGCTGCTCCTGTTGCTGCTACTGCTGCTACTGCTGCTCCTGCTGCTACTGCTGCTGCTCCTGCTGCTGCTGTTGCTGCTGTTGCTGTTGCTGCTGCTCCTGTTGCTGCTACTGCTGCTCCTGTTGCTGCTGCTCCTGTTGCTCCTGCTGCTACTGCTGCTGCTCCTGTTGCTGCTGCTGCTGCTCCTGCTGCTACTGCTGCTGCTCCTTTTGCTGCTGCTGCTCCTGTTGCTGCTGCTGCTGCTCCTGTTGCTGCTGCTGCTGTTGCTGTTGCTGCTGCTGCTGTTGCTGCTGCTGCTGCTCCTGTTGCTGCTGCTGCTCCTGTTGCTGCTGCTTCTGCTGCTACTGCTGCTCCTGTTGCTGCTGCTGCTCCTGTTGCTGCTGCTGCTCTTGTTGCTGCTGCTTCTGCTGCTACTGCTGCTCCTGTTGCTGCTGCTACTGCTGCTCCTGTTGCTGCTGCTACTGCTGCTCCTGTTGCTGCTCCTGCTCCTGACAGTCACGTGCGGTCAGGGGAGGCAGGGGTGGCAGAGCCTCACCTGTCATACTTCGATGAAAATAGCTGTTACGAAAAGTAAAATATAATATATTAAGATTTTCCACTGGTCTGTGTTATTAATTTAATTTCTGTATGATTCCAAACATTTTTATAGTTAACATCGACAAACTTGCTGAGCTCCGCTGCAAATACAGGAAGAGACGAGAGGTGAGGCAGCGACGAGCTCAGCCTCCCCTGTGATTGCGCAACCCCTCAGTAACTGGATGGAGCGCGGGCAATAAGCGCGTGCCTGTTTCTATCTCAGTACGTCACCAATGTAATGTTTGTAGACCCCTTCATTTCATGTCCTCGCCTTCCATACTCCAGGTAACTTATTTCACGTATGTGTATAAATATATTTAGGCTCGCCGGTCTCGTCATAAAACTGCAATGAAAAAGCACCAGGGGAGGCAGCTATCACATCTGCCTCACTGAGGGGGGCGTGTCTGACACGCCCCCCTCAGTGAGGACACGCCCCCCTCCGTCTGTAATGATACTAGCCAGTGCCTCCCCAGCCATTGACCTCATCGCACGTCACTGGCTGCTGATGCTCCTGCTGTTCCTGCTACTGCTGCTCCTGCTGCTGCTGTTCGTGCTCCTGCTGCTGCTGTTGCTGCTCCTGCTGCTGATGTTCCTGTTGTTCCTGCTCCAGGCCACTCTTGCGAATGGGACTCATCCTTGTCTCTCTATTTCTCATTCGGTTAAACAAAATCCACTTGAAACCACCAACGACACTACCACCAACATTCGACTTTCGCAATTAAACCATCCACCATAAACCGTCCTATCTGACAACCACCAACAACCCCATCAACATCACCACTGCCACCACCATTAACCCCAGCACTCCTTAATTGTCCTTACACAATTACTTTCACCACTGCAACGGCCGCCACCAACTGCGGTCCATGCTCTCTCCCGTGCAGGCTAACGTCGCTGCTGGTCGAGTCGACGAGCCGGATCGCCGTGGCTCGGAGTGGCATTAGCCCACTTCACCTGGCCGCCAAACACAACCACGACGAAGTCTTGGGCACGCTGCTCGACCTCGGGTTTGACCCCAATGCACTCCTGTCTCACAGTCGCTCCAAATACTTCGAAGACCGCCGCACCACGGCCCTCTTCTTCGCCGTTTCCAATGACAATCTGAACGCCGCTCACCGCCTGCTGCGAGCCGGCGCCGACCCGAACCTTGACGTTCTCCAGCCGTTGCTGGTGGCCGTGCGGATGAATTCCCTGCCCCTCGTGGAGGCCCTCCTGGAGCACGGCGCCGACACGGAGAGGCCCGTCGTGACGGTCGGCCGGCCCACCGCGTTCCCGTCGGTGCTCGTGTATTGCGCCAGCGACGTGCGGATGCTCGGCTTGCTCCTGCGCGAGGGGTGCGACGCGCGCTCATGTTTCGATTGTGCCTTTGGCGTGGAGTCGCACCACGTCCAGGTAAAGGCTCGGGAGCCGGCCGAAGAGGAGGGGCTCTGGGAAACACACGAGCATACGATAACCCCGCTGCCCAATAGAACCATGCAGGTACGGATGTGCAATCAATCCAGTTTATTTCATTTAGAGGTCGCAATGAACTGTTTCCAAATGCACTACCGAAAAATAATAATGATTAATCATCGGATACCAATAGGTAAAAGTAATATCAGTGAAATAGCATTACCATCGTACTGGGAAACTGATATCGGGATGATCAAAAGCTGCTGGGTTCTAATTTTATGTTCTGTGAACATTGCAGTTCTGTGAGCTGTTGACGAGCAAAGCGATGAGGCCACACTGCGAGTCCATTGTGTGCATGCTGCTGGAGCACGTGGCCAATGTGCACCTCTGCTCCTGCATCCTCCAGCTGCTCTGGGAGAACTGCGAGGATGTGGTGACGATCCAGCGGCTGGCAGGTACCATCCCCCGCGACGCCATCGGTCTCTCACTCTAACAACTACTACTACTGCAACAGTAAACAAGACGACGATTGGTCGGTTTATTCATTTTGTTGTTGTGCCAGGTGCTGAAAGCGTTTGACGACTTAAGTAAAAAAAAACATTTAAGTAAAAATATACAAATATCGTATGGAAGAACTCCATAATACAGTCTTTTTGGGTTAGATCATGTAAATTATATAAATGTGTCGTTAAAACCCACCACCACCTGACACAGCCAACTAGTAAGGGTTGTCACGTAAACAGAACGTGCCAATTCGTCACTAGTACAGCACACCGGTGTGTTGGAGAGCCAAGCCACAACATTTACAATCTGAGTACTGCCAGTAATTACAACTAGCTTCATCAGGCGACAGCCAGATTTGGTAAAGAAGTCTCACTGTTTCGTTCCTTATGTAGAGGCGTAGATGTGGTGACCACCCTTCTGCACTCTTGCGCCACGTGGGGGGGGGCGAATTACTGAGGCAACGTACATTATGCATTATGCGAGCCCTTTGAACTTGTCCTTCCTGTCTATTGTGTATTAAAATAGCCGTACCAACAGTAATCCCTATTGAAGTAAGCTGCCCTTTGTAGGCATGCATTTAAATAATGTATTTTTTTTTATTCGCTTCCACGCAGCACTAAGGCAGTAGCTATCCAAACGGTTATTTTTACTTCTTTCAATTTCGATAAATAATCTAATTAGTCTTGGCCAGTAGTAGCTAGTTTTGCACAGAATTTCAACATCAATTGAGTGTCCTAGTTGGCACGAGTGTTCTGCTACTGCTGACAGTTGTATTTGGGAGAATTTAATATTTCTCTGATGGCCTTTTAGTCTCGTGCTGATCATTCGTTCGGTTTGCCCAACGTAACATTTACAACACGTGCAGTTAATCCTGTACATAACTTCTGTTGATAGCTTCGGTAATACATCTTTTGTACCAGATATTAATTTTTGTATTTTATGTACAGTAAACAAGACTCCACTTATCTGTGGCGACGTTGGGGACTGATATATCAGCGACCCGATTATCCGCAGCGCTATTTGTGGATTTACCTCACTCATTCACAGGGAAGAAATCGTGCATAGCCCGCGGGAAAATTATAAGAATATTTCGTGCGACTCCTCTTAACCACAAATAAAGTGCACGTAACGAGAAGCTGTTCCGTGATAAACGATGGGATGAGCTGCGGATAATTAGAAATATATGGCCGCTGATAATATGTTGTCGCAGACCCAATGGCTCCCGTGGCTAATGGGAGTCATGGGTAATAGGGTAGAGAGGAGTTTTCCCATATTATGCTGTCTAGGCCAGCGGTTCTCAAGCCTGTAGTCCGCGGATGCCTGGTGGCCCACAAAATGTTTGGATGTTGAAAAGGGGTCGAAATTGTTGTGAGCCGCTGGTGTAGGCAGCGGTGTCGAAGAGGGGCGTACAGAATGATGCTCGAGGCAAGTCTTGTAACAAGCTGGCACTCGATGTTTTTTCGTGTAATCCGACCCCACTGATGATGAAAGTTGCCGTTTCCAAGCCAAATCTAATGACCTGAAGCACATTATTCAAGATGGCGGCCAAGATGGTCGCCACATAAATAAACGGATTGCTTTTGGTTACCAGATGAGCCAGACCAACCATTTCAAAACTTTTTGTGCAGGGTCATTGATGTCAAAACAGCGAATGATACCTTTGTCAACCCCTTTCCCTTCTACTTGTCTTACTCAGAGACCCCCCGTTCACTGATACACCTGTGCCGTCTGAAAATCCGCTCTACCCTCGGTCGGAAGCGTCTGCGCTTCATTCAGTGCCTCCCGCTGCCCCCTCTGCTGAAGAATTACCTTGGCCACGTCGAGGACAGCAGAGCCTGATCCAAAGGCATTCTCATCAGCGCATCCGACATAATATATGGCGACCATATGACTGCGAATGTCGTGCGCATGTTTGTGTTGTGAGCAACATCCTTTTAAAATCAGTATGCTGTCGACAGAGCTTTAATATGGATTATTTTACAAATAAAATTCACGTTTTCAGCATTGATGACTTCCAAACCCTAGAGCAGAGAGGGTCAATGACCTCCCTAAACTTGGAGCTGTCACTGGAGTTGCCACCTTATCCAATAAGGCAAGGGCTGTCTCAGTCAGCCTCGGTCGTCAGTGTGCGGTAAATTATAATAAAGTGAAACACAACGAAACCAGACCTCGGTACAAATCAATTCCTGCTACGTGAATACAGGTGCCAATTCCCCACACTGTCTTGGTCAAACTCTGACCAAGTGGCAACCATAATTATGAGCTCTGTATAAGTATCTTGTAATCGGCCGGCGGTAATATTTACAGAGATAAACTTGGTTTGAGGGCCGCTGGATTATCTAAACTTAGAAACAAAAATTAGTTTGTCCAGGCTCGGTTTACCGTGAGGAAGGTACAGTGCGTAGGAAAAACATCTATGAACAATGAAAACTCGTCTCGAGTAATTCCCCACTCCCTCCTCCTCACCCCACAAACCCCACACTCCACAATACGCTGGTGCTTGAGTCGCTGCTAAGGAATGATAGTTGATAGACTGCGACAAAGTGCAACCTCTCAGATAGGCAGGCAGGTGGAGCTGGGTGCCATTCTATCGGTGCTCATTGGTTCTCTCTGTACTGCGATATGTGTAAGATTGCTGATGCAATAATGTAGGCTCGCATTTTATATGTGAATGGAATGCACGATATGTGTAATGTGTGTTATTTATACATTGTTATATTTGTAGGAACATGGGTCTGTAAATGCATCATGTTGATATTATGTACTCTATATGATGTAGTTTATGCCGAGCTGTGTGAATAAAGTGCATTGCGTATGAATATGGACATATATATGTGTTTGGATGTCGTCTTGGGAGTGCTTTAGTACTCCTTATCGTCTGGACGAAAGTTAATAATCAGAATTGTACTTCTGTAAGCATTTGGCCACGGCTGTATAGGTTTGAAGGCGGATACTGCCACTTCCCCCACCCAAGAAAAAAAATAATGTCAAAAAGGAGCGATTGTCAAGATGAGAACGGCATCCTCTGTGTCCGCGTATTTTAATGTTGTTACAAGGGTAAGAATGATCGGGGCGACATACTTTACTGTGAAAAGACGTCAGGGTCCATTCTGCCGTGTGGAGATGCTCGCGTGATTTATTCCTTGCTTTATCGACATCTGGATTCAGTCAGATTCTGGATTTAGATAAATATATTTTTTTACATCAGGTTAAGATGTGGACGGTAGCATTAATGTATTCATCCCAGCCACACAGTAGCTCATTTGTAAAAAGATGGTAATGTGCAGCCCTGCAGTGGCTTGAGCCCACCACTGCCCCGCAGAAGGTCGTTGTCGAGAAACAACTCTTGGAGAGGCAGCCGTTCTCGAGGGTGTTTGGCCTCCTGTATGACGCTGGCCAGACTTCTTGCAATAGCTGGGAGCCACTCACACACACTCACTACCACAGCACGCGATGTGCCGATTGACGACCTCTGGACTAATCGTCCATACTGCTGGGTGGGCACATGAGGAGCTGGAGTCGTGGGTTGGGGGGGGGTGAGGATGGATTTAAGAAACTCGCTCCGTTGCTTCGACTGCCGCGGTGGGAGAGTGAATTGGACGCGGAGAGGTCTGTGGGACCGCACGGAGAGGTCTGGCCGTGTCAACCTCGACAGGGGCCTTCCATTCCTCACGCACACCGCGTATACACACCGCCTATATACACCATGCATATGCGGTGTACATGCACGACACGAAGCGCCTTGTAACAGTGCTGTTATGCAAGCTCGTTGCGTGGTTTGCCTGCAGCGTTCTGTTTGTGGTTGACACACAAAACAAAGAGAAAGTGAGGAGTCTGTAGGGGAAGTGTCGACAGGAGCACGTGCGTGCCCCGTGCAGCTGCTGCAGCTGCTGCTGCTGCTAAGTGCACGAATGGCCCTGAGATACGCCGCTTGCTGGGTGGTGGTGGTGGTGGGGGGGTGGTGGCGGGTGGTGGTGGGGGGGTGGTGGTGGGGATGGTGGTGAGGTGGGGTGGTGGTGGGGGGTAGTGGGGGGGTGGTGGGGCGGTGGTGGTGGTGGGGGTGGTGGTGGGGGGGTGGTTGAGGGGGTTGGTGGGGGGGGGGGTGTTGGTGGGGGGGGTGTTGGTGGGGGTCTTGGTCGGTTTTGGATGAATTCGACCGGCGTCGTTTGGGACCAGATCTACATCAAAATAAAGAGACTTGGCACAACAAGAGACTTAAGCACCACTGCTTTATTTTTAGCTGATCCTCAGCTTTTTCAGTAAAGCTTTTTCCGTATTTTAAAGTGGTAGTCTGAGAATTGTACTGTGGGACATAAGCGCGTGTTGTAGCCCTCGGGGAATGTGGAGTTGCAACCGGATTCTCAAAACAATTAAAGCGATCTTACCTGGAGCTCGTGGTAAAATGAGGATGCATAATGGGAAAAGGGGGAATTGAATTTGCATGCAGAAACGAATAAACAGCAGGCGGGATATTATACCGTTCTGCGGTATATCATTGCTGCAAGTATTTGGCCCGGAGCAGTTGGGAATCCAGGCGGATTCTCTCCCTGCAACATTCAACTTGTGTCCGCCACTCTCCGCGTCTCCTCTGCTGGCTGTCTGCCTGCCTGGCTGCCTGTCTGTCTCACCGTGTCTCAGTCGCTCGCCTCGGCGTCTGTGCATTTGTCCGCGTGGCTCTCGTGGCGGACAATGAAAGACCACAGCGCCACGAAGCGCGCCACTTCGGACCGCGCCAGATGCAAACGCGACGGCAAGCGTGGCTGCACTTCGCCAACTCGCACACACAGTTCGCTACGTTTCGCATTGTTAGCTCGTTACCACAGATTATTAGCCCATATCGATTACACGTTTTTAGTAGCCTGCATGGCGTGTTATGCCTTTGGGCCCTGTGGCCCAGCAAACAACGGCTTGAAAGAAACAATTTCAGAATAAATCGGCTGATTGCATGAAACACCTGAAGTGAAGTTGGTCCATTAACTGACAGTTGGTGTTTAGACAGGAAACTCGGGGAAGCGTTCGCTCGAAGTTACCTTAGGCAACCTGGCCCAGGACTCCAACTCGCCACCCTCCCTGCTCCCACACGAGCGCGCATCGCCCCTCGCGCACACGAGGCCACGAATTACCCACAGCCATGAACCACCCCGGACCCGATTCGAGCCTCCTCACCGGCGCTACAACTCGCGCCCAGGGCTCGCCAGGTGGGTGGGCAGCGTCACGCGGCGACTCGCCCGCCACTCCACGGCATCACGGCAGCGGCATCCATTCGCGCACCATCTCCTGGGCATGGCAGGTCGGGCCTTGGTGATCCACCGCCAGCCCACTTGGCCGAGCTGCGTAGCCCCTTTTCAGAAGCGGCCTGGGTCACAGATGGTAGCTCAACGACGTGACTTTAACACGTGGACATGTATAGCGGACAGATACTGCAAACGCGTGTTTGTAAATGTGGAGGGGTAAAAAAACGGAGGACCCGGAGAATAATCCACGCGACCACGGGAAGAGAGAGAGATGACAACTCCAAATATACAGCAGGCTTCAGGGTCGGACTCGAACCCACGACCTCTTGTATACCAGGCGAGGGAGGTAACATCTCCTAGCCACCGCGGTGTGCAAGGCGATGCTCATGCCGCCTGCTCCACCCCTTCAAGTCCAGCGGCGGCATTCGGCATCAGCAAACTGGGCAAAAGTTGAAGGCGTCCAAGACACGTCAAAGGGCCCTGGATTCGTGAACAAAAGTAGTGCAGCTTCAACTCGGACCCTTAGGCAGTGTCACTGCCCTGTTCGATGCCGTGACCTCTCGCGCTTCTGTGATGTAACAATACACCCAGCGCCTCTAGACGAGCTGACCTCATCGTTGCATCTACCCTGGCGGACGTCACTGTCGGATGTGTCCGTCCAATTGTCTACGACGCTTGGCCATCCCTCATCCATTCTAGTGACGTGTCCACATTCGATTCAAGAAATCGATTTGTGAAATCGAATGTGCACACGTATGCAGCACCTTTCCGTACACTGGTCACCAATGTCGTGTTCCATTCAAAAGCATTGCTTTAAAGGAAACAGTGTATGTATCCAATCAGCACTTATCAATCGCATTTTGTACATATACAAAACAATCATTTTGAACCTGGTCCTCTCAAACGTGTTTCTATGGCAGGCTTATATTGTACTGTACACGTATGCGCCACGTCTTTAGTAACACTTCGTTGGCAGTGGTGTACAGGCACGGTGAACGGACACGCAACGCATCCGCCAGTCATCTGTGCGTTTGGTCGAGACGCCATCGTCTGCTCCGCTGCCCGTATCTGGACTCGGGGTTCACGTTTTCGTTGTTGTGTGGCGCCTTTACGCAATTAAGCCCCTGTGACCAATTCGTTTTAGTTTCAGCGGCTTGAATTTCGATTTTTAAAATCACTCAATCTTCGTTATGCTACGTTGAGTCATCGGGGATCATTATCCGGACTTTGTAAGATGGATGTGATATTTTTCAATGTCCGATTAGGTTCTGATTATTCCCACTGGTTCTCGTAATTGGCGGATATTATCGAGGCTCTGCTGAAGCTACACCGCATATGTGCGATACCCAAAGATGTATGTGCGTGCGAGATGACCGTCAATGTTTAAAAGATCTAAAAATAAGTACTCAATAATAATTACTCTTATTTATATTAATTTCTATCATTAAATATACGGTGGAGTGGTGGCACAATGGTTAGCGCACTGTGCTATGTACCCGGCGACTGGATATTAATTCCCGGTTACGGCTAACATCAGTGGCAAGTGGTGATATCTGAACCAGTCCTGTCCCTTCCCTCCATTCATCAACTCGCACTAACCAGAAGTATGGTGACCCCTCCCCCCCTTGACAGACATTGCGTGAGGAGGTATTCATCTAATGGTAAATAGAGGATGACTGGAACTCAAACATAGTTAAATATATGTTTAATTAATTAACCGTTTTTTAAAACCATTTCGTGCATAATTTTACGGCTGAATGCATCATAAAGTACATCGGCTGTTTTGTTTTTGCAGACTGTGGAATCGCTTAAAAGTACGTACTGGTGGTCTGCGTGAGTTCGCACACAAACGCCACTGTTGAGGAACACATCACAATCTGCCGTCTGAGAACATCCACGCGTCTCTTTATGTTTGCATATCGTCGTGAAAATTGACTGCAAGTGTCTCCACTAGAGGGGTTCCCTCTCTCGCTCGCTCGCTCTCTGTTCTGGCTATGAAGGATGAAATGTGTTAAGAAAAGAGAGACTTGACGCGCATTGTTGTGGCGTCGTGACTGTCAGAGTGTTTGATTGTCAGCAGGGCATGTGTGGTGACGTCGTGACTGTCAGAGTGTTTGATTGTCAGCAGGGCATGCGTGGTGACGTCGTGACTGTCAGAGTGTTTGATTGTCAGCAGGGCATGCGTGGTGACGTGACTGTCAGAGTGTTTGACTGTCAGCAGGACATGTGTGGTGACGTGACTATCAGAGTGTTTGATTGTCAGCAGGGCATGTGTGGTGACGTCGTGACTATCAGAGTGTTTGACTGTCAGCAGGACATGCGTGGTGACGTGACTATCAGAGTGTTTGACTGTCAGCAGGGAATGTGTGGTGACGTCGTGACTGTCAGAGTGTTTGATTGTCAGCAGGACATGCGTGGTGACGCCGTGACTGTCAGAGTGTTTGATTGTCAGCAGGACATGCGTGGTGACGTCGTGACTGTCAGAGTGTTTGATTGTCAGCAGGACATGCGTGGTGATGCCGTGACTGTCAGAGTGTTTGATTGTCAGCAGGGCATGTGTGGTGACGTGACTATCAGAGTGTTTG